CGTGTTTCACTGATTTTAATGAAACTAATGACATCCATTATGTTTTCATTTTGAGTCACACTGATGAAAACAAGACATCAAAGACACACAAATGAAATCTATCTGCTCAAACACAATGATCATAAAAGATTTTGCTTTTCTTCTCTCTTTTTCCAAAAAAAAAATATCGTAATTTCTTTTTTTCTACCAATGACAGCGCCATCTTGTTGTGCATTTTCATTGGGCCTTAGAGAGTTTTGTCACAGCCCTGCTGCCTGCTGGGGATCATTCTGGTCATGTCAATGTTGTTGTAGGCAAAAACACCCATGGCTTTCTGGATGGTGGAGTCCGGCAGGCTCCGAGTCCGACCCAGGATCCAAGCGAAGTCCACGTGGAAGAGTCTGAGGATGTCGGTGCAGGAGTACACCAGGGCAAAGCTCACGTAGTCGGTGGACAGGATCCAGTATGGGGAATATGGGAGGACTGAGAAAGACACACACACACACACACACACACACACACTTTTACATTCAAAACATCAACACAAGGAGATGCGAAGAAGTTGTAACTCCACTTACCGTAGGAATAACTTATTCCTAGTTTAGCTGGATTCTTCTGATCCTCTATGACTCCAGTTCCTACAATCTTCCTCAGTTCTCCTTTTCTGTGTGAGTGCACACACACACACACACACAAACATACATACACACACACACACACATTTTTCATGTTGCATTACAGTGAATACACACCGTTCACAGATCACCTCCTGGTTCAACATTTGCACAAATTAACTGCAGGTAAAGACTCACAGTATCTCAGAGCTGACCACTCGAATGGAGCTGTCTGTCGTCAGAGTGAAATTGGTTTCAATGCAGCGGCCCTTCTCAAACTGGGCTGGCAGTTTGGCAATTTCAAACCATCTCCCCATGAACTGTGAGAGCAGAGAGACGCGGGTTCAGAGGCAATTTGGAGCAATGTGAGAAGAGACCATGAATAAATCTACATACTGTAATGGATTTTTCTAAAACGTTCGAAAGGCTCCCTTTCAAACCTACTCTGTTCCAACAGTGAAAAGCCAGTGTGAACTGATCAGAGTCAGATTTTCACACAAAGGATCACAAAATACATCAAATCTGAAATTTATTCCACTTTTTCCTAAGTAAAGTTTCCTGTAATTTATGATTGCTTATCGTTGGCTATCTTGTTGTTTTACATAATTCATCTTAAAAGTTCACTCTGTTAAAACAAAATGTAGAAAACAATTAATTTTAAATTAAGTGTAGAGATGTTTGTGTATCTTAATGCATATTTTAAAACAAAAACAGATATAAGTATGAGTTTAAAAGCATTTCTTCAGATTCTATGGTACTTTTAGACACTTTTGACACATTTGTAAACATCAACTAGAACACTGAGTCACTTAACAGGAAAGTTCAGAATAACTTTTGTTTGTTTACCTGTTTAAGGACAAATGCAGATTGAACTTCTGGTTCTGGACACGGACCCCAGTGAGGCACCTGAGCCCAGATGACTGGGAAGATGAGTACAACCAGAACCAAAGCTGACTTCATGGTAACAACAGAACTTTATCTGCAGAGAGACATTCAGTAAAATAAAATTAAACAGAAAATAACATTTTAATCTCAATAGTTTTATTATTTATTTGAATAAAACACAGATCCTACCGTTTAGTCCTGCTGGTTGAGTCTCGTCATCGATTCTGGTCGGACTCTGAGTTCTCCACCAGGTTTTGCGACTCTGCGTTCTCAATGAGACTCTTTGTCTCTTGTTTGATTTCAGACGTGAAGTAAGTTATTAGCAAACTGGAGTCATGAGGGACAAACCAGCAGAAATGTGATAAAACAACGTTTTCCTGCTTCAGAAGAGCAGGGACGGTTTCTGTTTATTTACACTGTTTACCTCTGGATTTATTGAACTGCACGATCCTGCAGACAAACAAGTTATTGAATTAACTAAAACTCCCTTTAAAGTAGCTGGTGAAGAAAAGTAAAAGCAGCTTTTCACACTGAGTCCTGGGAGTGCAGAGGGATCCTATAAAGTTGCATGTTTACTGCAAATTTGAACTCCACAGAAAATTACTGAACATCATGAGAGATTTTTATCAAAGTTTGGTTGAGAAATTCACAGATACAGACATTAGGATGCTTCTTCATTTCTTTTCTTAATAAATAATTGATTAAATTTCAATTATTCCTCCACCCAACACTGTTTCACAGCCATTTGTGTTTTATTTTTATTCAATTCGGTTTAGTTATATAGCGCCAAATCACCAGTTATCTAAGATACTTCACAAGGTAAACAATACAATTTAAACTACTTATCAGTGCATTGTGTTCAATTCATTATGCCAATTACTTAAAAGTTTCGTAGCTAGAGAAACCCATGTGTTCACGTAGTAATTCAAATTAGACTGAGAGACCCTCTAAAGGCTCAGGAACCCTTTGCAGATGTTCTGAATTCATTAGCTGATTGTTTTCATGATATTCTAATTGTATGACATTTTGAATTTGGAGTTTTCATCAGCTGTAAGCCACAATCATCATAATTAAGACAAATAGATGATAGATGTTAATCTAATTCTGTTTTTAGATCATTATGATTTTATGACTTTGTTTTATTTTGTTTTGATCTCTGTGAAGCACTTTGTGATTCTATGTCTGTGATAAGTGCTATATAAATAAAATGTACTTGCTTACTTAATAAAGACTTTAAATTTCTGGATTTGCATGGAATGAGTCTATCTCATATTAGTTTCACCCTTTAAGTTGAATTACTGACATAAATGAACATTCAACAGTGAAATAATTGCAAAACAGTCTAATGTCTCAGTGGTGTAGGAAAGAAGGTTAGGCCTATACTGAAACAGATTTACTTCACAGCCAGCTAGGAGGTTGTCAGTTTTTCACTCTCAAAAATATTTTTTTTTAAATGTAGGATGTAGTTATTGTTTACATTCTGAGTTTATGAGGTTGCTGAATCTGCAGCAAGCCAACGCTGCTAATTCAAAATTTGTAATTCAACACCAGCCCTTCAAAAAGCTCCAGAAATGCTGAAGGAATCAAAGCCAGTAAACAGGAGCAACCCCAAAGTTATTTCTTGTACTCCTAAGAAGCCACGGCATATTTTGTTTTACTCTAACAATTGAGATTGAAAACGTGTCGTCAATTCCGGCTTCAAACCACAAAAGATTGTAGGTATGAGGGACAGACCCCCCCTCACCAAAACCACTCTGAGCACGCTCATTCCATTCTATTTTTTTCCGGACAGTTGTCCCCAAACATGGTCAGAGCTTGTTGTGTTGTTGATTGCCATACTAGGTCGCATGACCACCAGGGAGGCTAATAGCCAAAGGTACACATTTTTTTCGAATTCCTGCGTGGAAGAGAGGTTGTTCCAGCGATGTGTCTGAAGCTACAAAGAGGCAACGGATGGCATGGATTGCTGCTATCAGAAGACCTAACTTAACGTTCGAGGACACCCCAGGTCACATGTTGGTCTGCTATAGACATTTCCATAAAGCATTCGCTGGAATGCTTTGTTTACATTAGCTTTGCGGGGCTGCTATTTGTGTCGTATGCAGACAAACCGGCCTACAGCATGCTGGAATGCAATCCGGACTGGGCTCCGTCCCTCCACATGGGTCATACCGAGGTGAAAGCGACAACCACCGCCAGATTTGACCGGTTTCCATGGAGAGCCAGATCAAAACAACAGCCTGTTGTTGATCTTCTCCTCGTACCTTTCTCTAGATTTTGCGTCGAGCCTGTCTTTGTACGGACCGGGAGCAGTCTCCATTGTTTTATACATCCTTGTGAATTAAGAGAGGTGAAATTCCTTTGCTAGTTTACACCGCAGAAGGACTGTTTGGAGATGTAAACACAGAGCCCAACAGAGAAAAACTGTGTCTTCTGGGTTTAAATCTCCCTCCGTCCTCAATTCCTACAATGCACCACGCGTAAGTTACGTGGTCTGTCAATCTCAATTGAGTGAAGCAGGCTAGAGGCTATCGCTGAGCTAACAATGCTAAAGCTGAAGTAGAAGCAAATAGTCAGCTCTAAAATTGTCTCAAACTACCTTTTCAACCACAAACAACTCGATATTACAGTGAAGTGTGTGTGTGAAGTGAATAATGAATCAATTGTGAGGTTTTACTTCCTTTAATGAGTTGTTCTGAACTATAACTGCAAGCTAACAGCAAGACGACAAACTCCCACACTTCCTGTAGCCAGAGACAAACTACTGTAATAAGTGTAGTAAGTGCTCCCTCCCGTAAAACACCCAAGAGTGCTAACACCAGAAATGAAAACGTATTTATCTACTAGTCAACTTACTGTGTATACTCGTCTTTGCTTGTCATCTAGAATCTTCTGGTGCTGGGGCCTCATTTATCAAGCTTGCTTACGCACAAAACAGGGTCAGAAAACTGCGTAAGCAACTTTCCACGCAAACTTTGGGATTTATGAAAGAAAACTTAGCGGAAAAATTTGTGCAACTTTAAGTTGACTAAGGGCCTTGCTTACGCAAACTTTGGACATGGACAGCACCTGCAGTGCTGCTCCTGAGAAGGATAAAATTATGAATTCCAGCAGCATTATCACTTTTACCGCTTCATACACACAGAACAAGCAACACGGAACGGATATGAGAAAGCCTTATTTCGTTAAAGAAACGACCACAGGATGTCAGTCTTACACATTGCACCTTCAACAATAAAGAATAAAATATAAACTCTGCCAAAAGAGGAAAACAAAACTTAAGAGTGAAAACGGCGTTTCGTACTCCCGAAAACCTAATGTCCATTTAAAGTGGATTCCAGAATAATAAAACTAAAGAACGTCAGACAATCCTGAATGAACAGGAAGTGAGTTCATCAATCTTTATGCCTGACCTTTAATTATCTAAAATACCTTTCAGCTGTTTAACATGAAGAAGTTTTCAAACCAAACACTGTCAATTATACACAAAAAATCCTTTTAATGCTGCCTGATTTTAGACAAAGCCCCGTGGCTACAAACATCTTTAAATTAAAGTAGAAAAACATCAAAAGCCTCAATTTCCAGCTCATATGGTTGAAGGAGGAATGACTTGTTAGCTGCAGCCAGATACATCAAAGTCTGGTTAAAGCAGAGGGGCGTGTGGTTTCTCCCTGGATGGAGGCAAAGAGCTCCACTGGTCAGGAGATCAAGGGAGGAAGCAAACACACAGAGAATAGAGGAAAAGCATCAAAGGAGGGAGGAATATTAAGGTCATATTGGGTCAAACTTCTTTCAGTCATGTATTTGAAAGTTTTCATATTTTCTATGTTAAGGATGTTTTCTCCATAAAAGCAATGCTTGCCTTCACAGACCAGGAAACTAAACAATCAAAGAAATAAATCAACTAGGAAAAAAAAGTCCTTAACTTGAAAAAGCTGAAAACTACATTTCAAAATCAGTTCATGACTGCATTTACTAGAAAATGGACAAATAGGACATTTTTAATTGGTTAAATTTAAATCAAAATTGAAACCTTTGACGTATTCATCAACCTTTGAATGATTGTTTCTTATGCTGCACCTTCTGGACTGTAACTGCTCAGTCTAATTTAGGCTTTTATTTATTTCTTACATCTAATTTTATTTGTGTATTTTTAAATTTGAGTTTATAATCTACTGTTTTATGTTGTCACATTGTTGCTAACGTTTTATGTTCTTGCACCTGGAAAGCAGATTGAATAGCTTCTGTGTAAGTAAATTTTATTTATATAGCACTTATCACAGACATAGAATCACAAAGTGCTTCACATAGATCAAAATAAAATGAAATCATAAAATCATAAGTGGATTAACATCATAAAATCAAAATACTCTCAAAACACTTAGATTAACATCAGAAAAAAATAAGTCATAAAATTATAAATTTTCATAAACAGATGAAAGATTAAAATTTTTAGTTAAAAATAAGAAAATAACAGGTTTAGTTTAAAGCAGCTTTAAATAAAAGGGTCTTTAGCTGTTTTTTAAAAGTGTCCAGACTATCAGTGCTGCGTAAGCATAAAGGGAGATCATCATCATGTATGAAACGAGCTGCCTTGCTTTGCATCGTTTAAATTTGGGCAGCTATGCAAAATAAATCCTGCATAGCCTATAATCTAAAGTAAACCTATACTGTGATGATGGATAAATAAAACTAACATTTTTGATGAATGAACTCTCTGTGCAGAAGAACCATTTGGCAGATAATCCAAACTGTTCTAGAATCATAATGTGTTCCACCACTAGGGGGCGGCAACAGTAGTACAACATTGTCTGGTTTAAAGTTGGTCATGTGAATGTTTTGGTCACTGAAAAATCAATGAATAATGTAATTTAATATTTTTGATGCTATCTGATATTGTTATTTATGTTTACAGAGAAATTTTAATCATTTTGCAAAAAAAATTTGAAGAAAAAATAATATTTTATGCATGACATGCACTAGCTGACTTAATCCTTATTATCTTAGAAACTCAAAATCTTTTGAAAAAATCAACCGTTTTAAACTTACATTTTAAGTGTCTTTGGTCAAATCTCAAAATATGTGTTTTATGCAATCACAATATCATGATTCTCATCTGCATTCGAATTTCTGTAAATGGATTAATTGCAGCCATGTTTGTGTTTTCTTTGATCAATTGCAGTAGAAATCTTGATTTGATTTTGGTTTGTTGCACGATTGATGATTTCGTTCTGGAATTTTTATTAAATTCCAGCAGGTGGTTTAAGCGATTTTTGGTTGTATCATGTCTTATCTTCCATGTCAGAGCGCCTGCAGCTCTGCAAACAGCAAAAACTTTATTGTTACTAGAATAGAACCACCTTTCACGTGCAAGACAGAGCTGCTGCTGAAAGATCAGCGGCTCTACCCTGAGCCCCTTCCAGATATCTAAAACAGTTTTTACAAAACAATGCCGTCAAACTGCCACAATGCTGTGGCGGCGTCAGGGAGCCTTAGGTTGTTTATAAGTGGTCAGACCGTGGTGGTGATGTGGTGCATTTGTGTCCTTTTATATAAAGGATTAGCGGTCCTTACGCTGTCGCGGACTTCCATTTATCTTGGACATAACTTGACACCACAACAAGCCGTTCCTCAAGGTCTTCCATAGTCCCCGTGCAGTCTCTGGTGATCTGACCTCCAGCTCTAACGGGGAGAAGCTCCAGGAGCGCTGCAGTGCTCCAGTTTGTCATCTCAGCTGATTTTGTTCCAAAAGCAAAGCTTACGGCCCATGTATACTTTTAATTTTCAATATAGTTGCCGGCTGGAGCTCAGCAGTAACTCCCCACGATCATGAAACCTCCCTCTGTTGCGACAAGGTGCAATTGCCATTTATAAGACAGACCATAACTGTAATATTACTACCAAGCAAGATGGAACAAAAGCCGCAAATTTTGTGCAACGCCATCCTGGCATGGCGCGCTTACAAGACACACCGTTGCAGTAATATTATATCAATTTGCCGGCACGGTGTGTTTTGTAAAAAAGAGGCTTAAGTTACTCATCTTGAAGCAGCTCGATTAGGGATAGTGAGTGTGGCCAGCCTCCAGCTTGTTTTCTTAAAGTGACAGAGCCCTGAAACAGCTCATTCTGGAAGGTGCTGAAACTCTAACGAATAAAACTGCTGAAATTAATTTATGTGAGAGGGATTTAGTGCAAAGAACTTCATAAAAATGTTTGTATAGACAACAGGACAAATATAACTTAAGAAAAAAGTCATAATATACCCCCTATAAAGATGCTGCTGTTCTCAAGCAGCAGGTAATGAGCAGGCGTATCCTGCAGCTCTCTGTTCAACTGCAACTTCAAACAAAGTAGCGTCACATAATTTCTCTATGAAATGAAGAATAAAAAGACTTGATTGTTATTTTCCAGCAACATCAAGAGGAGTTATAAAGACAAAGATGTGCCAGACGTTAATTTGCCACCTTCACAAAGATTTTATTACATCACCGGCTTTCCTTTGATGAGAGTCTGGTTTGAACAGATATTTGAACAGGTGCCAACTCCCACGTACACTTCTCTTCATCGCACACACAGTAGCAGATTTGCGAAGATAAATGTGTTTGGGTTTTTGTAATAGGACTCAAGGAGGATAACATACATGTAAAAAGATTAGGGGAGTCTGAACTACAAGCCTTTTCATGCAGGTTGAGAGGAAAACAGAGACGTTTCCAGAGATTTTTTGCACATCCATGAATCAATAATCTGTTTTAATCTGCAGGATTTGCAGATGACACATGCAGCATAAAAAATAATACATTTGTTATTCAGATTTTCAGATTACTACTCATTATAATGAGAATAGTGAGCTAAAAGTTTTGTTTAGTAGCTAAAAACAGTTGATGTTTAAGAAAACTTTGTTTAGCTGCATAGTTTTGCTGTGCTTTGTGCAACATTAATTAGCCATGCTTATTTTATTTCACTTTAATCAGAATTATGATTCTCTTCAAACTCAGTGTTGATCATCACAGATCTTCACTCAACAAAATAAAAACAAATGCAGCATGTTTGTCTAAATCAATCTGTTTTATTACATTGACCTCAAATATTCAGAGAGATTCAAAGACTGCTCATTCACTGGTTCATGACGCTGCAGTAAGCTTCATCCTGATTGGTGGAGAGCAGCTTGTTCACTTGGACTTTGTTGGACAGCAGGATGTTGTGCAGCTCCTGCAGAGTTTCCTCAGGCAGAGTAGGCGTCCTGCTCAGGATCCAGGTAAAATCCACATGGATCACACCCAGATCCGTACAACTGTAGACCAGAGCGTAGCTGTCGTAGTCGGTGGACAGAACCCAGTAGGGAGACGGGGGTGCATCTGTATGGGAGAAGAGAAAGACTTTAAATGAGTCATTGTTAAGTTTAAAAAGTACAGCTCAACTGGAATCTAAACCAGCAATGGAATTTAAAACCTTTGAGGGTTCCTACCCTCAAAGAAGTAGACCAGCAGTTTGGCAGGTTCGATGGGACTGGGTTTGGCAATCCCATTTATTTCACTGATGGTCCCATTAGCGCTAAAACGACAATTATGAGAGTTAAATGAAGGATCTGACTTTTGATGTTCCATGCGTGGAACATCAAACGATGATACATAACATAAAACATTTTATTTTAATATTCTACACATTAAACTTTGAATTAGGAAAAAAAAACAAGATTTTCTCTAGAAGAGAAGAGTGATGAAACAGATCTCACAGCAGCTCCCTGTTGAGGACACCGACGACACCGGCGCTCTCCAGGCTGTAGGTGGCGGTGCAGCAGTGACCCAGCTGAAAGCTGTTTGGCAGCCTCTGGATCTCAAACCATTTACCAAGATACTGTGTAAAAACAATCAGACAAGGTCCAGTTCAGTGCTGAATGCATGTAAAAGAATCCAGATACACTCCAGTTTGTGTTTAGCAATGGATGCACTGGTATTTTAATAGTTTTTTGTATTCACCCTTGCAGCATCAAACTTCTCCTGCACTGCAGCATTTGGGCAACGACCAGGCATGATGACCTGAGCGTCTGCTGCCAGAGCGAACAGCAGAATGACGGAAAAGATCCAGATCAGGCTCATCTTTCTACACAATCTGTTAAAAAAATGCAGAACAGAATTGAACTTTATTGTGTTTTCCTAAAATAATGTATTACTTTGAGCAGAAAAGAGTAATCATTTCTCACCTGCTTTGCTGAGTCTAAGTGAACTGTTCTGTGTTTTGGAGCCACATTTAAAGCAACGACGCATTTCCGCCCTTTTACTTGATTTGCATGTTGGTTTACTTTGAGTGACTTGTGTGAGAAACTCAGCAGCTGTGTACATAAAGTTTGCCGATTAGTGTAGTATGGACTTTGGCTGTTGTGCAAAAAATGTTGTATTTTATAACATCTTTTGTAAACGTGATGATAACAAACTTGTGTAATGGTGTGTTTTCGCACAGTGTTTATACATTTAAGCCCAAAAACAAAAGTATATCGATTGACCTTGGTCTTTTTAGGGTTTAATATTTATAAAAAAAATGACAATGTTTACTTTAACCTCCTGGTTAGCAGTTAGGTGTGAAATCGTTAAGTTTCTAAAGGTTTCAAAACATTTGAACCCTTTGGGCCTTGGGCCTATTTCTGAGAAATTTGTTGGAAAATTACAAACCTTTAAGGAAATAAGTGTAACCACAAGGTCTATTTTAGTCTCAGGGAACCTTTGTGAGATTTAAGATGGGTAAATATTAGTATACAGTATGATTTCTTGATGAAGTATAAATGGTAAATTGACTGTATTTGATTTAGCGTCTTCTAGAATCCCCCAAGTCACTTTATAACCCAATCAGTCATTCACCCATTCACACAGACATTCTCACACTGGTGGGGATGAGCTATGATGTAGCCACAGCTGCCCTGGGGCGCGCTGACAGAGGCGACACCACCAGCAGGCCAGGGGGGTTAAGTGCCTTGCTCAAGGACACATTGAAAAGAAACAAACTGAGCAGGGCTCAAACCTAGAACCTTCCGATTACAGGGCAAGCACTGAACTCCTGTACCACCGTCACAACAATGTGAACAACAATGAACATGGAACATTGTAAAGACATTTTTTTCTCTTCTTTGCATGATTTTGTGGCGAGGTGGAGAAACGAGGGCCCGAGCAGGATTCGATCCTCAGGCTCCTGGGTGAGAGTCACGCCAGTCAGCCAAAGGGACATGCCTGTGGCCGAGTAGTCAGGGCACATGATCAATTGGGACACAGTGACAGGATGCTCACCCTGTCACAATTTGTTTTTTATTTCAAGCTAAATATCACTGGAAAAATGCAGCCGCAGCCCAAACCTCAATGAAACCTCAATGGACCTTTTGCCTTGGAGGTCAGTTTGGATTTTTTTTTTTTTAACTAACTCAGATATGTCTAAATTGCTGCCATTGGAATGACTTTGCGTGACATTTATTTCTAGAAAAATGAACTTTGTTTCCTCAGTAGACTGTTGACCTGATACTTTCTAACATTTTTATGTTTGGATTTTCACAAATATGCCTATTATCAACCTATTTTGACAACAACAAATTTAAAAATTTTATTTATTTAAAATGTATTTTAAATTTATTATTCTAAACAAAAATCACATTTTGTGGCATTCTTTCATTCCTTTGTAGAATTCTTTGTTAGTTTCTAAACGGTGGTACAAATGGTACTCAGGATCCATTTTCTGGTCTCACGGTAAATTTTGGTTCCAACTGGTTAAAGGTCAACTTCACAGAAAACCCCATTAATTATTATTTAATTATTATCTCTGAGTACTGATTTCTGTCAAGCAGGCTGAACATGAAAATAGTCTCCTACACCTATCTCCTGCATTAGCTTCTGATAGAAAATAGACAGTGAAAATCCATCCATCCATTGTCTGAACCCGCTTCGTCCATGTAGGGTGGGGGGGCGGTGCCTATCTCCAGCAGTCAATGGGCAATCAGGTGGGGTACACCCTGGACAGAGGGTCAGTCCATCGCAGGGTGAAACTCTAACAATTTAAAGTTCTGACAGGTCTATGTCACACTGTCACTTAACATTCATGGACTCACCCATCTTGACTCAAAACGGGGGAAGTTGTTGTTTTAGCATCCAGGAAACAGCAGATAACATCTTGGCTAGTAGAAGCTAACTGTTAGCATTAGCAACTCAACCACACAGTAGACTTCCTCCAGGCTTGTGTTATCTGTGGAGATAAAACATCAGCGTTGCTAAGCAAACAGAGTCAGTGGTAGAGGCATGTTGCTGTTAGCCAATTAGAGGTGAGACGCGGCTCACTGGCTCACTTCCGTTTCCTGAAACTGGTGCACTGGAGCCTCCCCCCGCCAACTTATTTAAAATAAAAGAAAAACTGATCCTTTGGTCAAATAGCAGGCTACTTGGAATGATATTTTATGAACAATGGTAAACAAAAGAACAAAATGAGCAAAGATTTGATTTGTGTAATCTGATATTTGTGTTCATTTGTTGCAAAGCAGAACCCTTTTAAACAGGGGTGTGTGTTGTTTTTGCAAATTTTCACCCTGGATGACATCACAGAAACCAGGACCCAATTGAAATCTCCCCATGGTGTGAACAACGTAACACTTCAACTATGAGGGATTAAAGCTGAAGAAGGCCGTCACTTGTCCAGGAAACGAAGGTGATCCGGACACCAGCTTGTTGCTGTAATTAGAAGATGGATGGTGTCCGTGTCCCTTCTCCCAGTGAATTTATAGCCACGCCTGTTAGTAAAGGTTAAACCCGCTCTGATCTCTTTGCCTCACTGTGACACTATAATGCTGGGTGCAAACAACACGGACAGAAATCCCTCATAAAAAGCTTACACCTTAGAGATTCTTAAATTAGCGGTTTAGATGTCCTAAACCCTGTTCTCCTAATTCTTAAGTCCTTTCTTAGTGGGTTCTTCTTTTTCTTTTTCAGTAAAAATAAACCTTTGCTCCTGAACGACCCAACAAGCACAGTCTCTGGTTCTAAACTGATGCATATAATGCTGTGTACTGAGTTAAAACGATATTTGGTGGAGGGGTGGAGTGTAGATTAGTAAGTTACCACCTCCCAACCGACCACATACCTACAAGTTTTTGACCTTTTAAAGGTTTTGAAGGTTTAACCTTTAATCAGTGAATATGACTTCTTTGTTTCAAATTGGATGCTGCCTGTAGCTAGAATCCACTCTGTAGCGTTTGTTATATATCTGTTAGCCTACAAAGATCACCACCAACAACCACTGCAAAAATGTTTTTTCTTACGTATTTTTCACTTCTTTGTGACATCTTTTGACAATTCTCTGTACAACAAAGTCAGTGGGGTTAATGCATTGTGGCTTCATTCTGAGTTGTTTGCTGTGTGTGGAGTTTTCTGCAAAACCTATGTCTACAGACCCAAATGTGTGCTTTATCAATATATTTTATTTTATGAGGCAGTACACCGCTATCATCGAGTCCATCCTCACCTCCTCCATCACCGTGTGGTACGCTGGAGCTACCACCAGGGATAAGAAGAGGCTGCAGCGTGTCGTGCGCTCTGCAGAGAAGGTCATTGGCTGCAAACTCCCCTCCATTCAGGATCTGTACACCTCTAGGACATTGAGGCGTGCAGGTCGGATAATAGCTGACTCGTCTCACCCTGGACACAGTCTCTTCGACTCGCTCCCATCTGGCAGAAGGCTCAGATCCATTCGGACCAGAACCTCTCGCCACAAAAACAGTTTCTTCCCCTCTGCAGTTGGACTTTTGGGTGAAAATCCTAGGGCAGCCCACTCAAGTTGATTGGTCCCAGTCACGTGACCCGATGCTGTGCTTGAAACATTCAGCAAACACTCAGATTAGTACCTACACGGGGTAGATAGCTGCTTCTCTAATTCTTGCCACTTTTTACATTGAAAATTTTAGCATGAGTGTTTTATTACTTCCTATATTTGCTTGGTTCTTAATTATTTTTTTTCTATCTTACCTTCTGCACCAAATACCGCAGCAATTTCCTAATGTTGTGACTTGGCACACATATAAAACTTCTGATTTGATCTGAGTTTTTAGGCCAAAACCTTTTCCAAGATCTTGAAGATGAACGGTAGTATAGAGATGGGTCTAAAGCTTCTATGGAGAGACGGATCAAGATTGGGATTTTTAAAAAGTGGGTGGATTAAAGAATTCTCAAAATAAGCAGGAACCTCCCCATAAACCAGTTAACCATTAATTCAAGAGAGCAACCTGCAGCCAAAATTGTGTTGATATTTTGTAATAAATGACAAAAACTTACATTAATTCAAACAGAAGTGTTTCCATGCTTCTTATACTTATTTTGATTGTCCCAAAGTGATAATAATGTCAGGTAAATAAAATACTTTCCATTTTAGACAGAGTGATCCCTGTCTGACACGAGTTTATCACATCTGCCAGATTAAGAAAAACACCTGGAACCAGCTGTTGCTCAGAAGAGGTCAATATCCTGTTTCATCAACAACTCGCAACAAGTCCAAGTGTTTGTGCAAGTGCAAATGTGGATCTGGGAATGTCTTATTTTTAAGTAAATCAGGCTAAATTTTCTGTGCAACAAAATCACGCAGATGTGTCACTTTTTCATGGGATTTAGGCAACTGGATGTCAGTTTAGATACAAGAAATGAATAAAATAATCAATAAATGCATCAAGTTTCACATCTTGCTTTTGCTGATGTTTAGCAAAAACATCATGTTTAGTTGTTTTTTGAACTATGTGTTAGAAATGCATCTGTTCACAAACTCCTGATTCTTCTTTATGGTTTTTTGAACATCTTAAATTTGTGATTTAACTTTTCTGCATATTATTTTTTTTAAAAGTGCCACAAAACCGCAGGAATTGATTTGAAGTGTATGAAAGGATGGGACATTATCGGACCTCAAAAGTGCAGAATGTTTTAAAAAGTTTGACTTTTTATTATAAAATCACCCTGTGTGCTGTGGTTCTCACACAGTTTGTGTTTGTTGCTGACTGACGGGATTCAGAAACACCACACTAACCCCCCTTTCTACATTGTGTCTGCTGTTTGGCTAATTTTCTTAGCAGCCCACCAACTGAGCACACCTTGCTGCTCATCAGGAATTAAAGAAAACATCATTCAAAGAAGTGCAGGCCCATGCTTTAAGCTTGGTGAGCACAAACTGTCAGATTAAGAGGTCTGAGAGGATGATCCAGCCAACATTCAGTCGGATTTCTGGCAAATTACCACCGAGCATGTTTGGGTCAGACTTTCAGCACCCTGGGGAGTACAATGCTTTTGACACCCAAACCAGACATGTGAAAAAACAAAAGACTGATCTGTTGGCTTGTTGAGGTCGAAAAAACACCAGCGTGTAGTTTCTCTGCATGGGGCCGCAAAGCAAAGAGGGAGGGGTTGGCCATTTTGCCACTGGAAAAGGAAGCTAAGCATTTAGGTGTCTTAACTGTGGCCTAAAGTGCTAACACAGGATTAGTGAGGTAAACGTTGAAAGAGGTTTAGCGCTCCCAGCTTAGGCGCAGTGCTGCTTCAGTAATTACACATCAGTTGCAAGGTGCAGCGGGCGGTTGGATGGGAGATCATAGTGATGTCAGGGCAGGGAGGGCTTACCGCAGGAGATAAGGCCAGCTAATGGAGATGAAATGAATCGGTATTTAAAAGGTCTGGTTTAGTTAAGGCACTTTGCTGGCAGCAGATTGGGCTCAAACTGGTTGGCTGGTCAGTTGGATGCAGTTCAGTTAGAAGTGAAAGAGAGGAGGAGGACACTACGGTCCCGTCAGAGTTTGAAAGACTTGTTGTTAGATTTACGGTTGTTTTTAAATTGCTTCAACCTAAACTGGGCCAAAATCTGATCCAGAGTCTGCTCATTGGTGGAAACTTAAAGGTAAGGAGGTTAAATGTTCATTTTTGGTATTTTGGTCAAACATTTCTTGCATTTTCACCGTGCATTTCCTTTTTGATTTCATTTTAGTTGCTATATATATGTTTTTGTTTTATCTGCAGTCATTGGCAAAAAAAATGTATGATTTCGATGTGTTTATCTTTTAGATTTTAATGCAAATTCTAGAAACATTTATTGCACTTTTTCTAACAAGTTAACGTAAAAAGAAAAACTGGATTATGTCAGCAGTAAACTTTATAAAAGCTTTTAATGCCTTAATAAATAATTAATCTCAAGGTTGATGCGATTAGACAGGAGTTTAAAATCCTAGTTATTACCCAGATAATTAGACTCAAATCTGCGAAAAGCACCTATATCCTTTTAAATGAAGCAAAAAAATCATATCTTAAATTAGTAATTTTATTAACTTAATTACATAATTCTTAAATTAATATTACCTTTGATAATCCAATCTGCCTTTTGCAGCTGACAGAATTTGTATAGCTTTAATATGTGTGTGTGTGTGCGTGCATGTGTTTTCGGATTAGGAAGGGCTAGACACTGCTTCTGTCTTGTCTGATATGACCTCCTCAAGGCTCCATCTAAGTTGTCAGCAATTTTCCCTTTAATTCATTCCTGTAATGAGATTAACCAGGCAACAGCAAATCCAAGGAGTCCAATCCCCGGATTTGGCAGCTGCGGTGTGGCCTCTGCTCACCAAGGAGGTGCCACAGGGGTTTTTGTTTCTCGCCCTTCATGACAGTTTCACTCACAAAGTGTTATAGTGCCTTGTAATGTGCATGTGAGATTCAGAACTAAAGGTGTTGCAAGAGAGAGAGGAAATGAGGAAGTTCATCTGAGAGACTTCAGTTTGGGTAAACTGGGCTTCAGCTGGTGCACGTTGGAGTTGATTGTGCATCTAAGTGGCATTAAGGTCTGAAATGTGCATTCGATGTTATGAAACAAGGAAGGCAAGGATCTTTGGTAAATTGCTGAATAGTTTAAACATTTGTAAACATAAGCTTCAAGTTTGCAAAGAAATTCCCATTAGACTGCACTAAATCAGCTCTACGTAAACTTTTAAGAACTTATTTGCTTGTCTTGTTTTGATTACTTTTCTTTAAACATTTTGTGTTAAATTGAAAAGATTGCAGAATTGTGACTTGTCAGGCTGAACTAAGCATCGAGCTTATTGTGCCTGGGTACTTTTTTAAGATCCTCAGTCATCTTTTTTTAATGTAATTTAATTTTGCATTTGTAGATGTCTGAAGAATTGCAGGGCTTCAATAAAGGTGTGGAACACTGAAAACCCATTTTTTAATGATTATTTCTGATTATAATCAGTCACTCTGAGTTTTTCATGCAGGCTGAACATGAAAATAGTCTCCTACACCTATCTCCTGCATTAACTTCTGATAGACAATAGACAGTGAAACTCTAATGTGAAAACCCTGACAGATCTACGTCACACTGTCACTTAACATTCATAGACTCACCCATCTTGACTCAGGACGGGGACGGCTGTTGTTGGTTTAGCGTCCCAGAAACAGCAGAGAATGTCACGACTAGCAGAAGCTAACCATTAGCATTAGCAACATCACAACACAGTAGAACACCTTCAGGCTTGTGTTATCTGTGGAGATAAAACATCCATGATGTTGCAGAGCAAACTGAGTCAGTGGTAGTCACGTTTCTGTTATCCAATCCAAGACGAGATGTTCAAATTTCAGGAAAAAAGACTCCAAATCCTGTTGTCTGAAGCTACTTTCTCTGAGTACGACTAAGCATTAATTCCTACTAGAGACTACTGTAAATGGACTGAATAAACGAGTAAACCAAATCTTTAAAATGTTATTCTATATTCATTTATCAGGGGTAGGGGTCTGTTCATTTTTATTTTGAACTAAATAAAATTCTCAAAGCTCCAGGAATCCAGTACTTTTTTATCAACTCCCGCTGAACAATTGTTGACCAGTGCACACTTTCATCTCATGCATCTCATTTGCTGACTAATTATTTTCACTAAGACCGAACTGTTAACAGCGGGAGTTGCTCATCCAATTAAATCACAAACCCAGATCTTTTAATTATCTTGCAAGAGGTTTTTCTGTTTGAACCCACATTTTTGGAGTTTGTAAAGACTTGTGGAGATGAGCTTAGAGATGGAAATTTTGAAAAACACCTCCTTCATTTGCTGATGTTAGTCTGAGGAGGAGGGCGCATGTTTGGGCCACATAGCTCTACATAAACCGATTGCATCCCCAGATTTATCCCCAAGGTGTTTTTAGGACATCCTGGGAACTAATTGAGACTAATAGGCTTAGCACTTGGAGGTGTGTTGTCCGAGATGCTTACTAGCAAGGTTTGCTGAGGGTAAAACTCTAAACGTGTGGATTACCTTCAACACATCCCTTTAAAGTGCTGTATAGCCAGGACTTAGCTAATAGGATCTTGGGGGTTGCAGGGGCCTGGGAAGGTGGGGATGGGGGTTGGAAGGTCAGCAGATGTAAGCAGCAGACTGTTGCATGAATAAGAGGAGGATTACAGCTTTCAGATTACACGGGTTCCAGAAGGAACTGGAGGGACTGTGGATAATGCTCAGAGCCTCAGGGTGTATCTACTAGCTGTTTGTCTGGGGGAAGGGATGGCAGAAATAATAAATGTACACAGATTATCC